TTCTTGTTTGCGTTCTTTTTAGTGAAGCTATAGCTTTAAGTTAAAATTCTTTTCAGTGTTCCTAACTAATTATGTCTGTCTTCTATAAACTGCTACATTACTAGGTAGCATTAAGTTAAGTTATACCTAGTATATATAGGATTAATAATTGATCAAGTGTTGATATGACAATAATCTGAATTAGGTATGACATTTTCGTTTAGCTGTAAGGATCAAGAATATACTAATTTTACTATGCGAAAGTGACTTCACGAATTTTGCCTTTATTGAGATAAAAGTGGGAAATTGTTGAGGAAAAAAGTGTAGAATTATAAAACAAGAGCAAAAACTCAATTGTATAACCAAAACTGGATAGAAAATTTCAATGAAGAAAATATCAGTCAAAATTTTAGTTATAACGCCAAAGTATATTTTTGCAATTAATATAATATATTTTAGGTTGGGAAAGTATTCTTAGAAGTTCTTATCCGAATTACAACTTCAAAACCTAAATGTTTGTGCAAAAGAATTTCCTGTAATGAAATCTATTATTAATTTTAACCATGCTGTACTCAAGTTCCGCGCTTTCCGTATCTCCTCCCACATGTCTCGCTCTCCTTCCCCTGATTCTGAATTTAGTTTAGACTACGTAAATGACTACGATGATATTGATTTTGACACAGATGGTCTTGAAAGATCATCTCAAATTTGCTATCAGAAATTTATGTGCAAGGTAGACTTTAATCCGAAGCTTCCTGATAAACTCCGTGACAGGAGTGACAGGGCTACAACCGACCATGTACTTGATAAACGCTCATGCGCAATCCTGTTCAAAATGATGAGTCAAGAATGCTTCTCTGAAATAAGTGGCTGTTTAAGCACTGGTATGCTCTATCATTTCATGGGGCAACATTCTTCTCTTAATTGTTGAACATTTATCTAATTTTTGTTTTCTGTTCAGGAAAGGAAGCTAACGTGTATCATGCGTCAAATAAAAATGGTATTGATTTCGCAATTAAAGTTTATATGACATCTATACTCCCATTCAAATCACGTGATAAATATGTATCTGGAGACTTTAGGATGAGGCATGGCTATTCTAAGAGTAGTTCTTGGCGGTTGGTTTCTAAATGGGCTGAGAAGGAATACAGAAATTTGATAAGAATTTCTCAGGCGGGATCCATCCCGGCGCCTATTCCGATCAAACTCAAAGGGGTCGTTCTTCAAATGTCCTTCATCGGCAAAAATGGTTTACCTGCTCCAAAGCTCAAAGATGCGAATAATATTGAATTTGAAGATGAGCTCCCTCCAAATTGGAACCATTTATACCAGCAGGTGGTTCGAGATGTCAGGACATTATATCAAAAATGTAGGCTCGTTCATTGTGATCTTAGTGAATATAATATACTATACATGGATAACAAGGCATGGATTATCGATGTTTCTCAGGTACTAGTTGTACTACTTATCTATGTATGCTTTTGTAATGTTTAATGATTCTGCAGATAAAGTTTATTTACATATTGTGATCCTTTTTTAAATTTTCTGTCAAGTTCACACATTTTACTACTATTCGGTTACACATTAATTACTTTTTTTTGCCGAATTTCTATATCTATCTTATGATTTATTACCTATCTAAATTTGATTTGTTATTTCATCCCTCAGATTGCTAACTAAATTATATATATATTGATTCCTCATATAATGATCTCAGTTTTAAGTATCTTCAATCTGGAGTTATTTAAACTAAATTTTGATCCAAGTATAATCTATAATAGTATTTTGTGCTTTCCCGTATTTTATAACCAGGCGGTAGAACATGAATCGTCACAGGCTTTGGAATTTTTGAGAAATGATTGCTTTAATGTAAATGCTTTCTTCCGACGCCAAGGCGTGCCAACGTTGACACTCCGAGAATTTTTCGAGTGGGTAGTAGATCCAAGCCTCCCACCTCCCGATACTCCCGAGTCTGCATTAGCACTGATTAATATTCTCGAAAAAACAGAGGTACGTGGTTTGAATGCCACCATTGAGCAAGAAGATATGGCTTTTCGTCATGTAAATATTCCTCGATGTATGGCGGATGTTAAACACTTTGTTCGAGACTTTCTTCACATTCAGAGTGGCCTAATATCACCCGACGAACTCTATTATACTGCTGTTACCGGTTTAGATCCAGCTCTCAAAGGACCTCGTGTTTATATCTCCGAATCATGTAAGCAGAATTCAAGTACATCAAATATGAATACGGACCCAACTATCTTGTCAGATAGACAAGAAAGTGAAAGTGTCAGTGACACAAATTCCTCTCAAGGAAGCCCTTCGCGGAAGTTTATATCTAGCAGACGACCCAGGAACGAATCACCAAATAGTAGAAGGTTGCGCAAAAAGGTTATCAAGGAGGCTCAATCAGAAAAACGAAAAAATAAGATACCTAAGTATATTAAGCTTAAAAAGAAAGGCTTTCGGACTAAATGATTCTTTTTGGCATCATAAAACTTCTTGTATAAGTTGTGTATGTAGCCCATTCTTTTTCCTAAAGTGGACCCAAGACAGTGCCATTTCTTGCATCCTGATTTTATCATCACGTCGCTTTTTGATCAATAACCCTCATCTTTCATGCATAATACTTTCATGCATTTATCTTTTGCGTTCTTATTTTTATGCTGTCAAGTCTTCCATCTGTGATCCGTCTTCTTCCTATCATACACTATAAATCATACTATTCGAAACTTCTTATTTCCTTTTAGCGTGCATTTGAATGAAAATACCCTCCATATTAGGGATAATAATCTCGATTTTCCGGTTTCTTTAATTCTTTGCTTGAATCTAATTTTTTGATGCCCATTAAGAATTGCAATTATGCTGAAAGCTACTCGAGCCAAGCTGGGAAGGCCTATTCTAATTTGGCCAGGGTGCTGAAGGTAAGTATCATATTCCTAAATTAACAATAATCATGTGTCACCAGTACTTACATATAAGACTTGTATATGGAGACTTGCCCTTTTGTCGTATTGCTCAAAAATACATTTGTGAACGTTAGCCCATGATAAATTTTTACTACTAAGAAAACTTTGCCATCTTATAATGACACTAGATGCGAATTTTGGAGGCATCTTAGGTTTCTCTGAGGTAACTTTTAACGTTGAACTAGTACAAATAGAGCACGTTCTTACTTATACTCAAAATATATAAGAATAATCAGTACTGAGGATACATCAAAAGACAGATGGGGTAAATTATGAAAAGATTTTCACATTAAAATATAACAAAATTGTGGACTCTTTAAGAATTAGAAATGTTATTTTATGAATTGTGCTCATATTTATGAACTTAACTGGGCTTAGCCGAGGTTACAGCGTTGTTTTTAGTCATTACTGATTGCTTTGTTCTGCCATCCTCACGTAAAAGTTATCAAGGATTGGATCGAATTTGTGAAGTGATTGAAAAATCCGAATCTGGACTACTCCTTTGAACCAATATTGCTCTGCCATTTTTGTATTTAAGGTCCATTAACAATATGTTTGGAATATCCATTGACTCTAGAATCAAAGGCCATTGTTAATTTGTATGTATTTTTATCATATTTATTATTATTTCATCATAGTTTTGTCAATAATTGCGTCCTCTGTTTACTTTGCCTTATTCATCTCCGCCCCTCCTCACAGCCAAAAATATTTGTAATCGTCTCGGAGAAAATGGGGAATTACGGCCAAAGCATATATATGAAGCACATCGTATTTTATGTGCTCGAAACCTCGCCATACTTCCAAAAAGAGCAAATCCTCTACTTTAATTCACTTAAACCTTTCAGACCTGGATATTCCTCTCCAACTATGCCTGGCTCATCCGGCCATCATTCTTCAAACGCTCTACAAATAAATCATTCTTACTATTTTATATAAGCTTGCATATAAACTGGACTCCTTCTTTCTAAGACTATAGCAGCAGAGCCGCTACTCCTTAGTCGTATACGGGCATTGCTTTTGTGGCTATTATAGAAAAAGTGTGAGCTCCTTTCATGAATTGTCAATATTGTTATTTTAGGTATGCTTGTATTTCTGAAGTTGTCTGGTCTTAGATAGATAGGCATCCAGTGATGGTTTAAGTCATTGCTGATTGCTTTGCACTCCAAACCTCATACATAAGAATCTTTAGTGCTTGGATGGCATTAGCGAGGTGATTTAAAACATCTGAATTCGAGATACCGTTTTGAACCAGACTTTGTGGAGAGGACTCAGTTGTGTGACCGAACTTGTTGTGGAGACCTATTTGCATGATTATCAGGAAATAACTGTGAGCAATAAGTAAAAAAAAAGCAGGGCCATCAAAATGGCAACGCTCTGTTTTAGATACTTCTTGTGTGTGTGGGGACTTATTTTGTACGAGAGACGGAAAACCAGCCTCTCTTTATATGGGATTAGGCTAAATTAAAAGGCATATTGGAGTCTTTTTATTTTACTATGGTAGGCTTAACTATCAATTCTTCCATCACCTAAATAGACTATATCTTATGTCGCAGTCAGCAAAAATACAAGAAGTATATACATAACACTTAATATTTCCTTTTTGATCGGATTTTTGAATTAAAATATAACAAATAATTTAAAAATGAAGAGAAACTTGGCTTCGAAGAATCCCTAACTTTATTTTAAATTGTATATATGTAAGTAGTTGCAATAATTTTTTGACATTTTATACTTAAGTGGCTTGGCCCCGTTTCGCAAATTTCTCGTGTCGTCAGTGCATCTGGTTGTGCGCACGTGCAAAGTCCTATATAATTGTGGTTATGCTAATTCCCAAGCCTCGGATTTGGTACATTTTCAGACGTCTATACGGCATCCTCAGTGTGTCTTGTCACTCTCAGCACCAAGCTACAACACCAAGAGACAGGTTAATTCGATCCCTCAATCAAGGTTTTGCCTAACCATAGTGCTATCACTCCTCTTTCTCTCCTGGAGCATCTACTTACTCCCTACCCTTATATCTCACTTGCGCCCTATCAAAACTTCTGATTTGTTTATATTCTACCCTTTTCT